TACATAATGATAAAGGGCTCAGTCCAACAAGAGGATATAACCATTATAAATATATATGCACCCAACACAGGAGCACCAGCATATGTGAAACAAATACTAACAGAACTAAAGGAGGAAATAGAATGCAATGCATTCATTTTAGGAGACTTCAACACACCACTCACTCCAAAGGACAGATCCACCAGACAGAAAATAAGTAAGGACACAGAGGCACTGAACAACACACTAGAACAGATGGACCTAATAGACATCATCTATAGAACTTTACACCCAAAAGCAAAAGGATACACATTCTTCTCAAGTGCACATGGAACATTTTCCAGAATAGACCACATACTAGGCCACAAAAAGATCCTCAGTAAATTCCAAAAGATTGAAATCCTACCAACCAACTTTTCAGACCACAGAGGTATAAAACCAGAAAGAAATTGTACCAAGAAAGCAAGAAGGCTCACAAACACATGAAGGCTTAATAACACACTTCTAAATAGTCAGTGGATCAACGACCAAATTAAAATGGAGATTCAGCAGTATATGGAAATAAATGACAACAACAACACAAAGCCCCAACTTCTGTGGGACGCAGTGAAAGCAGTCTTAAGAGGAAAGTATATAGCAATCCAGGCATATTTAAAGAAGGAAGAACAAACCCAAATGAATAGTCTAATGTCACAATTATCAAAATTGGAAAAAGAAGAACAAATGAGGCCTAAAGTCAGCAGAAGGAGGGACATAATAAAGATCAGAGAAGAAATAAATAAAATTGAGAGGAGTTAAACAATAGGAAAAATCAATGAAACCAAGAGCTGGTTCTTTGAGAAAATAAACAAAATAGATACACCTCTAGCCAGACTTATTAAGAGAAAAAGAGAATCAACATACATCAACAGAATCAGAAACAAGAAAAGAAACCTCATGACGGACCCCAGAGAAATACAAAGAATTATTAGAGACTGCCATGAAAACCTATATGCTAACAAGCTGGAAAACCTAGAAGAAATAGACAGCTTCCTAGAAAAATACAACCTCCCAAGACTGACCAAGGAAGAAACAAAAAATCTAAACAAACCAATTACCAGCAAGGAAATTAAAGTAGTAATCAAAAAACTACCCAAGAACAAAATCCCCGGGTCAGATGGATTTACCTCAGAATTTTATCAGACATACAGAGAAGACATAATACCCATTCTCCTTAAAGTTTTCCAAAAAATAGAAAAGGAGGGAATACTCCCAAACTCATTCTATGAAGCCAACATCACCCTAATACCAAAACTAGGCAAAGACCTCACCAAAGTAGAAAATTACAGACCAATATCCCTGATGAACATAGATGCAAAAATACTCAACAAAATATTAGCAAACCGAATTCAAAAGTACATCAAAAGGATCATACCCCACGACCAAGTGGGATTCATCCCAGGGATGCAAGGATGGTACAACATTCGAAAATCCATCAACATCATCCACCATATAAACAAAAAGAAGGACAAAAAACATAATCATCTCCATATATGCTGAAAACGCATTCAACAAAATTCAACATCCATTCATGATAAAAACTCAACAAAATGGGTATAGAGGGCAAGTAGCTCAACATAATAAAGGCCATATATGATAAACCCACAGCCAACATCATACTGAATGCTGAAAAGCTGAAGACTTTTCCTCTGAGATCGGGAAAAAGACAGGGATGTCCACTCTCCCCACTGTTATTCAACATAGTACTGGAGGTCCTAGCCACGGCAATTAGACAAAACAGAGAAATACAGGGAATCCAAATTGGTAAAGAAGTTAAACTGTCACTATTTGCAGATGACATGATATTGTACATAAAAAACCCTAAAGACTCCACTCAAAACTACTGGAACTGATATTGGAATACAGCAAAGTTACAGGATACAAAATTAACACACAGAAATCTGTGGCTTTCCTATACACTAACAATGAGCTAATGGAAAGAGAAATCAGGAAAACAATTCCATTCACAATTGCATCAAAGAATAAAATACTTAGGAATAAACCTAACCAAGAAAG